GCTCCTTATTAGATTTCTTGGGTAATAAATCAGAGTGGGCAGGTTTGTGAGAAGATTCGTTTTTATTGTGGACATCATCCTATTGTTTTGTAAGTAATGCCACCTCCTTTTCTGAAAAACTTCGATGAGGAAACTAGAAAAAAAAAGATCCCAAAAGTAAGCTTCTCTAAAGAAAAATGAAATTCAGGAACCTGGGTTTAAAAATTTTTCTCTTTCCAGGTCCATGGTGTTTCAGTCACAGAGATTAGAACCGGGAACAAACAATAGGAAACGGCTCTGAGACTGGCACTGATGGATCAAAAATGCCACTTGTCACACTTGTAACAAACAGCATTTGTATTTGCATTTGTTTCTTAATTTAAGGTAAGGTGTTTCTTACCTTAAATTTACATAGTTGAAATGACAATCTTCGACCTCAAGTTTTCAGGAATCAACCAGGATTTGTCAAGTACCTGCTAAATACTCAGTATCAGGAAGAGTGATGTGAATTATTATGATTGAAGGTTAAACATTAGATTCAAACACTAGTAATAAGAATGGGACTTTTCTTTCCTGTTAGTAATCCTCAATTCATGTGATAGTGAAATAACCAAGCCCTAAGGAACGATGTCTCATTGGTTATGTTAGAATGCTATCAGTATGTTTTAAAGGTAATTATACAAATGGCTTATTTACCTTGTTTTATTAACATAGTCACTAGAACTTCGATCTCAATGTTTAATTTTCCCCAACAGTTTAGCTGTTTCCAAGAAAAACAACCATTTGAAGACTGGCATTACAGATAACAACATATTATTACCTTGAACTGGCTTCTCTTTACCAGATGGCTTCAGTAAAAACAGAACTCCCAACCTGTCTACCTGGTTGCCACTTCACATCCATTAATACAGCAAAAGTCTTGATTTCTGCCTCTCAGGATTATCAAACGCGCAACTCACGTCAAGGAAAGAGCAGCAGTAAGAATCCTGAAAACTGCAGAACTCCCCATCCAGTTACACTAAACCCAGTAGTAGCATAGATACAGGTGACTTTTATGCTTCTCAAATTCTTTTCTTCCAGAACACCTGAGAATTGCAGGACCAACATTTCTACTTTAAAAAAAAAAATTTTTTTTTTAAAAATAACTGTAGGGATTTCCCTGGTGGCAAAGTTGTTAAGAATCCGCCTGTCAATGTAGGGGACACGGGTTCTAGCCCTGGTCCAGGACTATCCCACATGCCGTGGAGCAAGTAAGCCCGTGTGCCACAACTATGGAGCCTGCACTATAGAGCCCACGAGCCACAACTACTGAGCCCATGTGTCACAACTACTGAAGCTCACACGCCTAGAGCCGGTGCTCTGCAACAAAAGAAGCCACCGCAATGAGAAGCCTGTGCACTGCAACGAACAGTAGCCCCCACTCGCCACAACTAGAGAAAGCCTGCACACAGCAACGAAGACCCAACGCAGCCAAAAATTAAATATAAGAGCAAAGCTAAATAAATGTAAAAAAAAAAATAACTGTAGTCAGGGAGAGAAAAGGAAAACAGTATCTTTATTGTGTGTAGTTCTAACAAACATTCACTGTGTGCACATTCCAGCAGAAAGAGACAAAGATCTTTGTTCAAAATATGCTGAAATAAAATAGGTAAACAAACTTCATTACTGAATACACAAAAGGAATGTTAATATTACTCGCTCAGGGGGTGAAGTCAAAAGGAAATTAAATAATCATAATAATGTTTTGCCTAAATAGCAAACGTAGAATATAGGTGTAGGCACAAAGCAGCTCCTAAAATTCATGAGTGGGATGCTAGATGTAGGGTAGGTGACTTGGCAAATACCTCTCTGCTTCTTGAAACCTCCCTTTGAGATCACCCCCACAAATTCTAAACCCAAGCTCTTCCAGGGCACAACCATCAAATGTGACTAAACTTCCCATTACTTCTGTGGTATTTGGCAAAAGAACGAGATGGTTAAAAAAAGAAAAGAAAAAAAAGAAAAGATCAATCTCCTGTTCAGACATGTCTGAATCCATTCCTCCTGGAGAAGGAAGTAATGAACATTAAAGTTCTGCATTTCTAAAATGGAATTTAATCAGATAGGCATCACTTAAGATTTTAAGCATGAGATACTATGTAAGTAATGATATATCTGGCCTGTAAAGCATTTTTCACTGCTTCACTTGGGAACTGAGTATATACTCAACAATATTCTTATTTCACAACGTGTGGATTTGTGACAACAGCTGAAAGAACTTTACGGCTCAAATTATAGGTTCCAATGCATTTTTGTTGCTGCTTAAGTGGTCAAATTAGAACTAAACACAGTATAAACTTTATCCGTACCACGTTCCTGTCTTTACAAATGTAAGTCATTTGGAAACCAAAACCAATTCCTGAGAGACAGGGCCAGGAAATTTTGGGACCCAGCACTAACATCCCTATTTTGGGGGCACTAATTTCCCCTCATCTCCTCCTCTTGTGCTCCCCAGCCATTATGTGTACAGTATGGTGAGCAGCAGCAGTGAGTCTTCCTTGGGAATAAACAACCAAACACCCCAGAGACATCCCAGGAGGCCCGGCTGGCCAACAGGGACTGGCTCCACTGTCTCTCCAGAGGGGTTTTCACGACCCACCAATGTCGAAACTGTTTCGAGAATTCCTGTCTACTTCTTAAAACAAAAGTGCTTTTTGATGGATTCGGTTAACATACTATATTACTTTATTGTTTAGAAAAAAACTTCTGCAAACTCACACAAGCTCTACCTGGTTGTTTATGTAGGCAGCAGAATAACAGTAAATGGACCCAAAAGTGGTTTTTATAATACAAAGTGACATGATATTAGCAGGAGATCAAAAGAAGCCCTGGGTATTGGATGGATTTCATGGATGGCTGAGACGAAGTCTGAAAATCTTTTCCTCTGGCTCTGAACGAAAACAAGTCCAGATATAAACAGGAGAAGATAACAAATATGAAATAGAAAAACATACCTTTTGCATTGGTCTTTACCCTAAAAATATCAAAAAAACACAAATTTTACTTAAGAATATCGTTCTTTAACATTTCTTCTAAGCCAGATGTTTTTCATTCAATTTTGGGGACTGCCAATGCACTTTTAGTTGACCCAAGTTATCTTCTGGCTTAGTTTTAGCTTGAATGTTCCCGTTCCAGCTCCTCAATACTCCTTTGTTCTTTTCTACCCCAGTGTGGGCCCATGTGATCATGCAACTTAATGATTACAGCAATTATATATCAATTCTTATTCAAGGCAACCCTTCCTTGCCTTCCTGGAGGAGCATCAAGTCACACCACCTCTGTTACACAATAACCAAAGATTTTTCTTTCAAAAAATTGTCTTGCACTGGCATCTTATAATACATACAAAACATTTTCTAAAGATATAAATTTTAGGGACTTCCCTGGCGGTCCAGTGGTTGAGGCTTCACCTTCCAATGCAGGGGGTGCAGGTTCGATCCCTGGTCGGGGAGCCAAGATCCCACATGCCTTGTGGCCAAAAAACCAAAACATAAAACAGAAGCAATATTGTAACAAATTCAATAAAGACTTTAAAAGATGGGCCACATAAAAAAAAAAAAAAAAAAGATATGTTTAAAAAATTTACCCATATCCCTGACATATAAAAGTCAGCCAGAAAGCCCCTAAAATTTCTCCATAATGTCATAACCAAGTGTGCAATTAGCAGGTTAACATGATTTTTACAAATTGTGAATTCACTCAACTGCTAAATCACAGGATACAAGACCTGGGTTGAACTTTTTCTTAACTAGTTTGCATGGGCAGACACTGGTGTGCTGTGTAGCTTCCTGTCCTGTCAAGTGCCTGGCAAGCAGGAATAGGGGAGGATACAGAGCAGTGCCCATGGTCCTTCCTGAACCACGCTGCTTCCTGCTGCATGTGACGATGGCTCAGAGTAGACTGGTCATCCTCAAAGGATGGGAAGAAAAATCACCACAGTTGTCGGCAGAAAACTCCCAGTGGACGGCCTCCTCAGGTGCTTCCATGGGGGGGAAAAAGCAGTCAAATACACCAGAGAAAGTCCGAACCAAGGAGAAACAGTAACATAACTCTAAATAATAACCTTCTCCTCAATGAAACAGTCATCTGAGAACAACAACAAAAAAAAACTACCAGTTTTTTATTCTCAATGGAAAAAACAACAAAACCACAAATTGGAGCCATGGAGGTAAAATACACATGAAATGGAAAACATTCTCTTGTCCCGATCTACCCCCTCTGAATGCCGCTTTACCATGGGAGTTATTTTACTGGGGCAAACAGAAGATTAAATACTGTACCTTTGAGCAATTTGGAGTCTCTTTTGTAAAAAGGGGAATAAAAAATTGCCAGTTGATAAACAAAAAAAGAGCAAAATCCTTTAACAAAACTGTAAAGCTCTAAACACATACTTATAAATTTATATTTTACCAATACAAGATGGTAAGGGGTTTTAAAAAAAAAAAAGAAAAAAAAAAAGATGGCTAGGAACTGGTGCCAAAGTAAAGGATAAAAATTTTGGTGCTTTTTCTAAACTCCTGTCCTAAAAGTAGTGTTTTTCAATATTTTTCAAAAGAAAGATTACTGTGAA